AGAGCATGAATTTTTGTTGGACAAATCTGCTCTCGGGTCAAATGAAGCTCTTTAAACTTCATCTATAAAATTTCTTCATCTATAAAATGAAGGCTTATAAACATTACTTCAGAAGATGCTTGAAAATCTTATTGAAAGGAGTGAAAGATAAAACCCTTAGTGAGGGGATGCCTCGGTGGCTCAGCAGTTGAGCATCTGCCTTTAGCTCGGGCCGTGATCCTGGGGTCTTGGGATCGAGTCCCTGCGGGGAGCCTGCTTCTCCCTCTGCCTATGTCTCTGTCTCTGTGTCTTTTGTGAATAAGTAAAATCTTAAAAAAAAAAAAAAACACCTTAGCAAGTACCAGGTACAGAATATATGCTTGTCAAATATAGCTTTTCCATCTCACTTTTTAAAAACTATTAGGAAGGAGATTTGTCCGAAGCCGATGGTCAGAGGACATCTGGACTCCCTCTTGGCTTCCTTCATCTCTCTCTCTCTTCCTCTCCCTCTCTCTCTCTCTCTCCCTCCCCCCACCCTCCATCTCCCTTCCTTTCTTCCTTTGCTTCACCTTTGTGGTCCCTCCATGTCTCCAGAGCACATCCTTCCCCTCCTAACGAGCCGCACCGCGAAGCAGGTGAGCTGCCACTCGGGACCAGCCTCCACTGGCATGAGGGACAGACACCAGCTCTCCAGCCGCAACACAGGTAGCGCCGCATCCCCCGGGAAGCCGTGGACACAAGCCAGGCCGCTCTGGACCCAGTAGGAGGAGTCCCCACAGTCACACCGAGGGGCAAGCAGCCCCAGCGCTTCCCGGCTGACCCACGGGATAGGAACAGGTGCTAAAGGAACAGAAGTCAAAAGCTCCGACCGGCTCCGAGTTAAGCAGCAGGTTTGTTTCCGCGCTCTCTTCGATTTTAGCATTGCCAACTTACCAACGAGCATCGTACGTCTCCCAGTGGGCAGTAGTCCATCGTCTGTCATCTCCCGAACTTGTTTGGCCTTGACGCGCCTACTGTTGAGCATCTCCTGGGTCTGTGAGTGATGGAAAGGTCTTCAGAAATTGCAGCTCGAGATTAAAAATCAACTGGGACACCCATTTGTTAAGCTCCTGGCAGCAGGCTGGTTAGAAAAATTTAGCTGATAATTTATTGCCTTTGTTTTTGATGCTAATCCCCCCTCTTAAGTTGCTACTATTTTTAGCCTTTTGCAGGTGATATCACATAATTTCAGTATCAAGCCTAATTGTTCTTCTGCCCATGTTTCAGCGGAGGAACAGTAAGATCAAAGAGATTCAAGAATGGTGGTGAGGCTAAAACCGGAGAATGGATGTGATTTTCATTCATTCATTAGTTATTGAGCTCTTGCGATGTGCCAAATATCTCCTTCCAAGAGACTAATCTTTTTTGTCTTATTTCTTTGTTTACCCTCATTGGTTAACTTATAAATACAGATCTTTTGGGTTTCGACCAATGGGCTTCCACTAGGGTGATTTTGCCACACACACCCCGCCCCCCAGGGAACATTTGACAATGTCTGGAGACATTTTTGCTTGTCACCAATGGGAAGGTGCCATTGGCATCTCGTGGAGAGAGGCCTTGGGATGCCAGTAATCATGCTATAATGCATAAGATAGTCCCTCCCAGCCAAGAATTATCTGGTCCCAAATGGCAACCATGGTAAGGTTTAGAAACTCGGATTTAGAAGAGAAACACCTTTAAAAACCACCACAAGTGCAAGAAACTGCAGGGGACTGTTAGGTGACATAAATGGCTGGTGAACTGGACATGCCCCACCCTGGCTCAGAGGGGCAGTCGCTGCTCGGATCCGGCTGATTGTTGCTACAGGGGACCTGTGATATCATGCATCCAGGTGGCCAGCTCATCCCATTTTCCAAGCCAGAAATTCAAATTTGAATGTGCAAGTACTCATCTTGTTGGCAACTCACTTGAGCCTTGTTTTAATGCTTTGCCAATCAAACAAAACACATCTGAAATGTGATGTAGACAGTGGGCCGCAAGTTTGCTACTTCCCCAAACACTAAGGGTGCCTTCCTAGCATCAAGCTGGCCACCGTTGGGAATGTTAAGCAGAACTGGTTCACACTTCCCGGGGGGTTTAGCCTTCGGACTTATTCTAGCCCTCCCAGCAAGCTAGTGAGCATGGACTGTACTAGAACCTGCTCTAAGCACTCCAAACATGTTAACTCGTTTTATCTTTACAACTCTAAGTGGTGGGTATAATACTACCTCTCATTTTAAAGACAAAGGTTCAGGGGCACAGAGAGGTTATACGACTTCCCCAATGTGACACAGCCAATGCTGGTACCAGGATTTGAATCCAATCTATGTTCTTAATTGCTAAGCCAGCTGCCCTATGGAAGATGCTGCATCTCCATTTCTACACAGGAACACTTGCAAGGGGCTTTTCTGGCTCATTACTCAATTCGGGCAAGTTAACAGTCCCCCGTTATACTTAGCCTGTATTCCTCAAGTGCTCAGGTCCTCAGTCCCTCCATCTAAAGCTGTGGTTCTCAACTGAGGGTGACTTTCCTCCCTGGACACATTCTGCAACATCTGGAGACATTTTTGGTTGTCACGAATTGGGGGGGGTGGGTACTGCTGGCATCTAGTGGTTACAGGCCAGGGATGCTGTTAAACCTCTGCCACACGGGAGAAACTCCCAAAATAAAGAATTTCCCAGCCCCAAACACCAACAGTGTTGAAGTTCTAGACACCTGGCTGGCAACCGTGCAACATGCAAAAAGTAACCAGCAGAATATTTCAGGTGATTCGGTCTGTTTATTTCGAACATTATTTTCTCTCTCTCCTCAAATCCTAGTCTTTCTTCTCTTGCCCTGGAATTTCGTCATAACCCCATGTCACTATGCTCAGTTCCCACACTCAACGATAATCTCCGAGAATGACCCTTTTACATTAACAGCAGCAGAATGAATAAGAACTCAAGGTGAGCATCCGGTAAAAGAAAAATGAGCATTAAGATACAAATTAAACCCTCAAAATTCAACCAAAATGTCACGCATATGCATGAAACGTGACTTTATTTTTCTGGATGCCCTAAACCATCATTGTACTCTGTACCCACATCCAACTTTGATGGCCATGAACACCATCTCTGCTAAACACACACATGACTGCGCCAATTTCATAAAATGATTTTAATAGAAAAGTACAAGGTATGAACAAAAATAAATAATCTTTATCTCATTTCTAGCCCAGCAAATTGTACACTACATATAAAACTGATCTAAGCGGCAATTTTCCTCATTTCTTTTCTGCTTTTGAAATACTGAGACAGCATTTTAATGAAATCTTCTAAATTCAAATTGATACATTTTTTTGCTTTAAAAAAAATCATACCAACCTTTAATCATTCTACATCCATTTTTTTCCAGTTGGCTAACAAGATGTTTCACTGAAATAAATTATCCAATCATCAGGTTTAAGTGTAAAGTTTGTGCAAACAGGTAAATCAGAAGATCCATTTCCTAAGTTTTAATTCCTACATTGCCAAATGTTTCCTGTATTAAAAACTTATTTTATCATCTTTCAAAACATGGCATCTGGTTTTCCCCATTCCATAGAGACAGGGGAGACTAAAGAATACTTTTTTTAAAAAAATAAATATTTTAAAAGTATACTTTACAGTGATAATGCGGTATCTTAGACCTATGCCTTGGTGCGTATTTGCATTATATATATGCTTCAAGTTATAAGTACCTTTTCTATCTGTCTCTATTTATATTATGCACCACTCAGTCTTTGGGGACTGTTTTTGCTAATGACCTTTTGGAGTCAGCCAGTACCAGTCTCTCATTTGGAGAACTCATCCTGCTAGAGCGTCATTTTTGATAATTCCAGTGGCTTCAATAATGCTTTACAAAAACAAATTGAAAATTGGTACAGGCAAAATTGTACGTGAAAAGGGTTTGGGGAGGCTACTAAAACATATCCAGTGCCAGTCTCAGGAGGTCAGCAGCTCGAAGAACTGAACAGATAAATCGGACTAAAACCTAAAACAGTCTTCCTTTTTTACTTGAGCCCATAATTACTATTTTGAACATGGCTCTGTTTGCCGCTGCCTATATATAAATTTTTTGTTAATTTTCCTGTATTGGGAAGATCTTGAATGCACTCCAGGATGAGAAGGAAAAATATGCTGACGCTCCTAAATGAAGTATATGTTTTTGCAATAAAGAACACTGGTCAATATACAACTGAGGAAAAACTGAAACAGATGTGAGTCCTAGAACCACAAGCGTTTGAATTTGCCCAGAAATGCTATTTTAAACACTCTATATGTTGGTCTACTGTTTTTTTGTGGAATAATGCATTCTTGGCATCCTTAAAAGGTTTCAATATGTTACAAGGTTATCCGGAAAGAAAAAAGCAAAGGGCTAACGTATCAATCTGGGCTGTGCGGCGCTGGCCAGATTTCGGTGTACATTTTCAGAAAGCACGAGAACTCATATTAATTGCACTTAACACAACGAACCTTTTAGTTTCCAATGAGTTTCATTCTCTCCAGACTGAGGCTTGCTTTTCATAGAAGTACTTTCAAAGGGGCATAGAGACAATACGTCCATAGTAACTTCAAACAGAGAGGTGCAACAGATGCAGTGGTAAACACAAATAGACTTTTGGACTAAAATACTGGTCATGGATAAAAGCATGTGCCTTTTCAGTTCTTCTCGGAGATGTTACAACAGCAACACGCTCTAAAACAATTAAGTTACATGCATAATGCTAAAAGAATGTGAGCAATCCTATAACCAGCTTTAAGCCATCTGCTTGATTTTTTTTTTTTTTGAGGAACATATATAGGAAAGAGAATTCCCCTTTTGTTCCGTTACATATAGAAATCTTTTGAAGCTTCCAAAGTTTGGTTTTGGTAAAACTCTCTACTCTTCTGTTATTCTGACGTGTAGTCACTCTAAACTATCCCTCATGGTTTCTCAAAAAACCTCCACATGAAGTATCTGAAGGACAATTGAAACCACTTACCAATATACAAGTAACGTTTTATTTTATATTCTATCTTCCATTTGGCATAAGCCTTTCGATGTTTGTTTTTTAAACCAGTGAAATATACAAATCACGCAAGACAAGAAATATGTACATTAAAAGTACAGAATAAGGCCATAGAAGATATACATAATATCTGAATGACAAGTAGAATATCTTACATTAAATAGTTTCTTTTAAAAACTAGGATTGTTAAACTCAACTCTCTTCATAAACATGAATCACTAAAAAGGAACAAAATCTGGTTTAGCAAATAAAAAAAATTACTTCATGGTTTTTGTATAATAAAAACCAAAAAAGTGACGTTTTAAACTAATTAGTGCTTTTTAATTTCAAGATCTTCTGCTTGCAATGCACTGCAACCGAGAGGACGTGAATATCTTCGTGCAATAAATTAAAGAGCCACAGGTGGCAGAGGTGATCATGAAGGCCACCGAGCCTAGGAGGGTTGCAGGAGATGTGTATCTTTCCAAACTTTTAAAACAGCGTAAGTCTGAGATAAGAACACATTTGATGGCACTTTTAGGAAAGAGGTGTCCTTTGCTTAAAAAAAAAAAAAAAAAAACACCACTTTTTTTTAAACTATGTATGTTGTGAGCTCCATTTTCCTCACGGACTCAATACTGGTACTAGCAGATCTAAGAGGCACTGGTTTCCACTCTACAAAATGAACCGGAAATGGAAATGTTGACAAGGTTTCTGAGTTCTTAGATGGGAACAGAATCTGAATCTCTCTTCATTCCTATGTCTGTGACAAATGAGTAATGCCCTTTCTGGAAAGTGTACAGAAACAGAGGTTAGAGAAAAGGGGGTGGCGCAGGGACGATAAAAGAAATCTTCAAACCAACATGCATTATCAGTTAAGACCTTCCAGATTCCTCGGAAACAAGTCTGCTTCGTGATGCTCCTGGTGTGATCACATCGGGGCCACAGCCCAAGCTCAACCTGGAAACCTTTTGGAAAAAATCCCAATTGGGTTGCAATGAAGGACAACAATGCTCTAGACCAAGAAATAACCCCAGAGTAAACTACAGATCACTGGCTGCGCTGAGATATAATTATATTTATATTTATATATAGATGTGTGTATATATATATATGTTATGTACAAAAGACTTTTGAGATATCAGGCACCATTAAACCACATCCCCCCCTTATAAATGCAACTGTTCAAGTACACTAGGAACAGTCTTAGGGTACACCTGCAGTATAATAGGAAAAGCTGGAGTGGATAGTCTACACACAGGATCAAGAGAGTGAAACGCTGCAACACCTCTGGGAACTCTGTTAGCCGTGTAATGTCATTAAAACATTTAAAACTACTGCTCCTCAAAATAAAAGTTTTAGGGGGAAAAAATCCCTAAGTAGCAAACTGTTTCCCAAGTGGAGCTTGTAATGATTCATTTCCTGTCCCACAATCAAAGGGGACCCAGTGGAGCTGCCGTTTGGCAACGTGGCCAGCATCACATCGCAGCAAAGGCAAGGAGGAATCAGAGAGGACTTGGGGGTGAGGGGAAGGGCCGATTTCACTTTTCTCCCCTCACACAGGGCTTCTGCTCTGATGCAGCGGCCGACCTGCATGCAGTTACTTTGTTGTCTGGGCTGAGGATCTGTGAACGGAATTCGCTTATTATTTTCATCATTATCATTTATTAACCAAGCATCCCTAAGAAAATTACAGTATATTTTTCCTTTTCTGTTCAAGCCAACCTCCCCGCCTCTCTGCAAACAAAAAAAAGTCTAGTACCCGGAATCATTTGGGGATCCTTTTCCAATCTGATCACCTAATTCCTGTAACAGCATCAAATCGGTATCTTGATAGAGGCATTTTTAAGGTTGTTTTTACCTTCCGGGGCTTTCCTCCCTGTTCCCCAAGTTTTCAGTAGCTACTAGTACAGGACCATCTGCAGGTAAAACATTTGATGAAAATGACACAAATGACCTATCTTGGAGGGATGTGAGATTCTCGCTGTTATTTTTTAAATCACCATTTTGAAAATGTTTCGGGCTGGCAGCCCCTAGGGAAGGATGGGGTGGGGTCTCATTTTTCTGTTTGTTTCTCAAGATCTCTCGACTCTCCCCAGAGCATTTACAATTCATTTTGGTCACAGAAGCTGAATCATGCATAGATTTGTACCACCCCCTTCCAGCTGGATGCTACCTGTCCTGTATTTGACCCCGCAGTTGAGAAAAAGAAAGCATATTTCCTTTCCCTTCTAGATGTGCACACAGGGTACATGTAATCCCCCCTCATCCTACACCATCCAAAGAAGTCTTGTCTTACCTTTTCAAAGATGCACAAAATAAATATTTGTCTTGGTTCCCACCCACCCCCATTATTGCCAAATAATAATTATAATATTAATAATAAACCACAGAGTTCTTAGATGGGAACAGAAAAAAAATGGTTCCGGTTGCAATTCTCAGGGGAAAATAAAACAATATAAAAAAAAAAAAAACAGAATCACTGTACTTTCTATAAATAAGTGGGTCCTGGGAGCGGGGCTGGGTGACAGGCGGGCGGCGGGCGCCCACTATTTGCACACGAACTGGTCCACGATCTCCGTGCACTTCTTGCACTTGACGTAGCAGCACCAGTGGAACTTGCAGTGGCAGCGCTCCGTCTGCACGGTCTTGAACTGGTCGTAGCCACGGCCGCAGCACATGAGCTCGCAGCCGTCCATGCCCTCGGATGTCTTGTTGCACAGGCGGCCCTGCGTGCCCAGCGAGCCGGTGCTCTCGTTGCGCACGCAGTAGTCGGGGCTGGGGTCGATGTAGACCAGGTCCTGCGTGGTGGGCGAGTTGAAGCGGCTGTTGACCTGCACCAGCTTGCCCCGGCTGTTGAGCCGCATGGCCGCTGCGCTGTCGTACTTCTCCTTCAGGGCGTCGCCCACCTTGCGGAAGTCGGCCAGCTGCAGCCAGCACGTCTTGAGGCTACACGAGCCCGACACCCCGTGGCACTTGCAAGCCACGTCGGCCAGGTTGTACACCGTCTGTGGGGAGACGGGACAGTCAGCGGACATGCCATCAGGGCAGGAGCCCGGGGCCCAGGCGGTGGCAGGTTACCAAAGCTCCGCTCCACCTTCCCCCGTGGAGCTGTGGTCACCCGGCCCCGCCAGGGCCTGGCCTATACCCCGTGCCACCAGAAGGCTGCTGTCGCCTTCTCTACAGAGTCTACAAAATAAACAGGCTCTGGGCCCCTCACTGTTACACTCCGTGGGCTAAACAACCCGCTCTCTTAAATGGGAACAGGAGACCACTCTGGTTGCTGCTGCTTTTCCAGGAAAACGTTACAGCAACTAATTTAGACATCCTGAATGCTCACCCCATAGATTACTCACAATTCTCTCCTCCATCACCTGGATTAATCCCCTCAGCCAGCCTCCGGGAGAAGTGCTAGCTAGTGTGTGCCCATTTCACAGAGAAGAAAAGTGAGGCCTATAGAGAGTTGAGTTACTTACCCAGCCACTGGAAGGTAGGGGGTACCACGATTTGAACCCAGGCAACTGGGCTGCAAGCTCATGCTCAGTCACTTGCCCGTGGGCACCCAGCTGGTTGGTAAGTGGGAGGGTGGAGAGGGTGTCCAGCCCAGGTGGGATCAGGGTTCCAATATTAATCAGTTATTACTACTGTGTGCCAGGCACTGCCATCAGAGCCTTGATACTATTTACCTCCTTGAATCCTCCTAAATAACACCATAATGGATTAGATGATGCCATAGTGGCACAGAGAGGAAAACTGGCCTGCACAGGCCACACAACTAGAATGTGGGGAAACCAGGCCTGGATCTCAGCTGCTCTCACTCCTGCTTCCTGCACAGTCCCCAACTCTACTCCCCACTGCCTAGATGAGAGCATCTGCACAGGAGCTAGGCTGATAGCGTGCTGTCCTAACTCTGCCCCTGAATTCCGGCAACGGGCCTCACTTCTCAGAGCCTCCTCTATCTGTGAAGGGGAACTGTAATGTAATGGCGCCAACCTCACGATATTGTTATAAGGATAAAATTAGGGGATAAAAGAAAGTGCTTGGCATAGGGCATGCAATCAATGAATCTGCTCTTTCTCCAAGGTGATGAGCCCACGGCATCTGGGTGCCGATCCTGGGCTCTCACCGGGTCACCCTGGCCTCCCAGCTGCAGTGCCCACTGGCCTGACCTCATGGCACTGTGCCCAGCAGCCTGGGAGGTGGTGGCCGCCTATTTATAGTCCCCACTGCCCACAGTTCCTGTGCTGGTCACCCTCCAGAGTCGGCGTAGTGCTGGCATGCTGCAGAGGGCCTCTCAGGACCCTGGAGCCTGGAGTGATCTAGAAGGCTCCTTCCATCCTGAACTCCACACCAAATAGCCACCTTTGTCCTCTAAAGATTCATAAGGGGCTTTTTTTTTTTTTTTCAAAAGTGTGGGGGGGCACAATGTACTCCCTTGGCATAAAGAGTTTCAGGCACTCAGCTAATGTGCAGAAGGGTTTTGCAAATGTATTTAACCTTTGCTCCCCTTTGAGGAAAATAAAAAGCTAATGCCCCAAGGCGATTCTAATAGGATTTCCTGGCACAGTGTCCCGATTTCGTCCTCTCCACCCCCACTGTCCTGGAGAAAAACTGTCTTCTACATGTAACCTCATCTGTCAGAATCCAAGCTCAGCTCACTGCTCAAATAATAAAACCTACAAAAAGAACTCATTCACTTTTCAAAAATGTAGATGTTAAACGAAATTCTGATAATATTAAAGGTGCTTTTCCAACTCTCCAAAACCCCCGTTCTCTACTTGGAAATCCCTTGACTGTCTCTCCTTGGTTGCCAGGCCCCGGATCATTTCTCCTCATGAGAGGAGTCAAAGAAATCCCCTACATGGATGAAAGTACCCAACATGGGCACAGTGGGGCCCAGAAGAGCCAACCACATCTCTGTCCTGGAGGCACTTCTGGTCTGAGGCACTGGGCACACTGTATGCACAGAGTAATGTGATGTGTCCCCTGTGAGGACACGGCCAAGCTTTATGGGCTCCCACAGAGCGTGGGGCTGACATGCCCATTATGTGGCCTTGGTCAGCTGCCATGGGGAGAGACAGCAATGGGAGGCTTGAGAAAGGAGAGGCCACGCTCCCTCTGGAGCAATAATCTGACCCCTCAGGCCACCAGGGGCAAAAAGTCTGCCCAGTTTAGTCCTTCCCCAACACCTCCAACGTTTACCATTGATGTGAGAAGCTGGGCTAGCCGGAATCGTCTAGATCATCTTCGACTTCTCTGTTCCCTAACTTCTGCATGTCTCACAATTCAGTTAGGATTTATCAAGCATTTACTACAGGCTGACACTAAACTCCACCCTTGGACTGAACTATTCTTATTTTACTGGTGAGAGATGGTCAAGCACCAGTAACTCTGTCTGGATCCACCTCCTCTATGATCCCAGTCAGTCCTCCTATAACTCGGAGTGATAGTTAATGCCATGGCCATCCAACAGATGTGGAAACGTGGAAACTGAGGCTCACACCTAGAAAGGCACAGAATTGGATCTTAACTTAGATTTCTTTAATTCCAAAGCTGATAGCCCTTTACCTTTGAGCTGTGACGCATGAGTTTAATAAAAACGTGCCTGGGCCTGTATCTCAAATCCATCAATTTTCCTCCGTGGCCATGAAGCAGTTCTCTAGGGCCTCAGTTTCCCAAGCTTTAAAAATGAGGGTGTGTGGTTAGAGGGTTCTAAGGCTCCTCCCAGTCCTCTATATTTTACTCTGTGATTATCTTCCCTTTTCCTCACCCCAAAATACAGAAGAGTGAAATCTCTGACCAGAAAGTTCCTGGCACCTACCTTGGGTTCTGTGAAAAAATAATGACCCTGGTTTTCAATGCTGCCAAAGTTAAGAAAAGTTTCACCCCTTCATTTTAAAGCAGCCATAAAGTGCCATGTGTTTAACCGCAGGGAAAAAAAGGGTCTTTTTAACTATTGTGGAGAAGCTTCCCACCAGGGGAAGGAAAGAGTGGCCCCAGAAGGCTGGTGACCAGGCTTGCGAAGCTGGGCTCTCTGGGCCCCTCTGAGTGGCCCTCTCTTCTATCCAGAGCCACCCTCGATTGGCCTTGATGGGCAGACCTATAAAATTGCTGTCGTTTTCCTAGAGAAGCGCTTTAAACAAAACAAAACCCTCAGGCCTGCTCTCTAAGGCCAGGGGAGGAGGCAAGGAGGAACCAAGCGAGGGGGTCGAGGGGGTCGGGGAGACCGGGAAGGCCGGGTCCCCCCACTGGGCACCCCCCCCCCCCCCGGGGTAGGGAGCTCCCTCGCGCCAGGGGAAGCGCAGCCACACACACGTCCCAGGGGGGAGGGCGACCTTTATGCACATTTTTGTCTCTGAGCTGGGCTGCCCAGTTGCAGGGGGGACTAAGGACAGGGGCCCAGAAAGCTCTTGGTCAGGCAGCTGCAGGCGCACCTTCGCGGGCGGGGCGGGGCGGCGCGGGATGCCCCCCCCCCCCCCGGGCCGCAGGTGCCCCCGGGCCGCAGGTGCCCCCAGGGCCGCAGGCGCCCCGACTCACCCTGCGGCCGGCCTCGTTGTTGTGCAGGTTCATGAGGATGCGCGCGCTCTCGTACGAGCCCTTGGCGTGGATGCGCTCCCGCTCGCGCGCGTCCACGAACTCCTTGGCGAAGCGGTAGCCGTAGTCGATGTTGTCCCCGCAGCCGCCCCACAGCCAGTCCCGCGGCAGGTCCTTGGGGCGCGCGGCCCGGCTGCAGCCGCAGGTGGACAGCTCGCCCTCGCGGCACGCGCGGCTCATGGCGTTCACCACCCCCGCGGCGCTCACCGCGTACGTGAAGGCCGTCTCGCGGCTGCCTGCGGGCGGGACGCGGGGTCACCGGGCGCCCGCCCCGCCCCGCCCCGCCCTGCCCCCGCACCCCGCCCCCGCGGCAGGTGCCAGGGGCCAGCGGACCCCCCCGCCCCCCCCCCCGCGTCTCCACTCTGGCCCTGAGGAGCCACACTGGCTTTGCCTCCAGCTCCTTCAAAGTCCTGGAAGCCTCCTCCCCAAAACTGCACATGAAAGAAGCCATTGAGGGCGAACAGAATGTGGGGAGACTTCCTGACACTGATTTGAACGTTTGGGGTCATTCTGAGTTAGCTCCCGCAGGGCCAGGGCCGCAGAAGTGGCTAGGCCTGGAGTCACAGGCCAGGGCGGGGACCTGGGGCCTGGCTCCCCCTGCTCCATGTCCACGCAGGCGCGGGGCCTGTCGCAGGGCCAGGCTCCTGACCTCCCCTTTCTAATCCTTTTTTTTCCTTTTAGTTTTTTTTTTTTAAGATTTTTATTTATTTATTTATTTATTAGAGACACAGAGAGAGAGAGAGAGGCAGAGACACAGGCAGAGGGAGAAGCAGGCTCCATGCAGGGAGCCCGATGTGGGACTCGATCCCAGGTCTCCAGGGTCAGGCCCTGGACTGAAGGCGGCTAAACCGCTGAGCTGCCCTGACCTCCCCTTTCTAAACCTGTTCCTGGGGTATCAGCCAAGCTTGGCCTCTTCTTACATCCCAAGTTGCTTTGGCCTGATACTTATTCAGAAAGATGGCAGTGGACTTGTAAAGCAGCCTGCTGCCTTAGAGGCTACTTCTGCAACCCAGCCACCCACCTGCCCCCCTCACAGAGCCTCTGCCTCAAACTGTTAGTATCAATTGCAAGCAGGAAGAAAGCACAATCTAAGGGGAAAAGAAGAGTCTTCTCCTTCCCCAAACTTGTAATGTCTACTTCCTGTAGTCCCATTTGTCAGAGGGAAAATGGAGGCCATCATAGTCTAACTTTCATGCGTACTTGGAGACACTTCTATGGGTAACAAAAAGCCACTTGATAAAAATGTAGTGGTGCCAGAGAGAAAGGGTTAACCCCCCCCCCCCGGGGTGGGCTGAAGCTGGGCCTGAGGGGTATGCTGGGGCACAGGGGCCTCACTTTCTTCAACTATAAAAATAAGACTATTGAACTAGATGTCCAAGAGGGGGGAAAAGGCCGCTTTTAGTGCTGAAATCCCTATATCAGAAGTTTCTCCAACTCTTAAAAGAGCTTGCTGACCATTTTTTTTTTAGCGGGGGTGGGAGGAGGTGGTCCAGCAGAAGAACAGCTGACAACAGGACTCAGCCCCAACTAGAAAGGTCAGCCTGAGGAGGATGGCTATGCCAATTCCAGAATCCAGCAGGCTGCCCTTCCTGGGACTTGAGTTCTATACTTCAATCCACAGACATTTGTGATTCCTCCTTCCAGGAATGGTGAAGGTTCCCAGTTACCACAGACCTACCCTCCCACAATTAAAAAAATGAATGATTTGAGGAGCGTGCTGATGGTTGGCAGGAAGATCCAGAGAGTTCCTAAGGGGTGTTCTAGCTAGCTAGCTCAAATTAGAGAGGCAGAGCCCATCAGAAAGTGGAGAGAAATGAGGTGAGCAGAAAGCTTCTAAAGGGAGTTATTTGAGGATCAACACTGATAGGACAGAAAATGTGGTCCTGGATGGGAGACTTGTAGAATAAGGCAGTAGCGAGAGGAAAACAGATAAACCATCCTCTGGAGCTAGAAGAACCTAAGGCACTGTCCTGTGAGTAGATCGTGCATAGATCGTTTTGGCTTTTATACAAAACCCAATAATGCTTTTTTTTTTTATTTTAATGAGTCTACCTTGAGCATTTCCTTTTTTACCCTGGAACACAAACCTGGTGGAAATCTCTTAAGCCACTTTGTCACTGCAGAGAAAACGTCAGTTTGAAAAGTGCTCTTTGGCGAGTAGCCTGTGGACACAACCATGCTGTATGGAATACTGCTGGTTCAGTTAGGTTTCCTTCCTGCGAAATCTACATCTATTTGGATCCTCACACCCCTTAAAAATAGAGCCTTTCTTATATATCTTTTCACAGTGTGGAGACAAAGAAGGGACGTAGACAAAAGCTGGAGGAAAGGTTAGCGTGATGAAAAATGAGAAGTTTCCAAAATGAAGAGTGGGCCCTTCACCAGCCAATTGTGTACAGTGCCTCCCAGGCAACTGGCACCCTAGAAAAAATGAGTTAAAGAGGGATGGAAGTGGCAGCCTGAGTTTCTCAGACACTGGCCCCATCACAGGGTCAGATTCTCACGGGCACAAACTGCGCTCGGGTCCCTGGCATACTAAGTGCTCTGGAGTGGGCGTTAGCGCCCGTGTGCATAAGGGCACGCATGCACGCACGCATACACACACACACCCCTTTAAGCATCAAAGGTGTTTTAAATTTTCCCTTAGCTCCTTCTCTTCAAACAGACTCTTAAATAGAAAACTGAAAGCCAAGTAAATTTCCCACTGTTGGGGTTGGGTCCATGTTTCCCTTCCACAAAACTCTACTCTGGTTTTCCTTCTCTCCGTCTCTTTTTTTAAATAACTAGAAGAGAAGGCCCCATCCGTGTTCCACCAAAAGCCCAGCAGCAGCTTCCTGACCCCAGAACCTGGGGGACCTTTGGCAAAGGAGGATGGTGGGCGCTCTCAGATGCCCAGGATATCAGCTAACTGGATGGTAGTATGTGGCAGGGCTCCCTTGGAGGCCGCCAGGAGGTTTTACTCCCACCCACTTGCCACCAACCCAGACGGGAGTACCACACAGCTGAGGACCAGACACTGTATTTGCAAGGGACAATTAAATATAAGCCTTTGTACCAAAGGTTCTGCTTGTTCCCTGAGGAAGCAGGCTCTTTGAATCTTGGACCACATTTTAAATAAATCTCTAGCAGAACTCAAATCCACTTAGCAAATGATAGCTTATTCTGAACATTTTGGCCCAAAAGAGGCTACAAATGAAGAGGACCTTAAATCAAAGTTGTGTTCGAGTCACTACACAGAAAAACTGTTCCAATGGGTATTTTGCCTCCTGGTTGCCATAAAAAAATGTATGGCTTTTGCAAACTCATATACATGTGAAAAAATCGCTCCCTTAGTTTGAGAGGAAAGGAGCTTAGGGGGAATATATAACGCAAAGGTGAGAAGGGAAAGCTGACAACTTACCATTCTGATACAGCTAAAAAAAAAAAAAAAAAAAAAAAAGTTTTGAGCTTACTCACAATATCACAGTGCAGAAGGGAATCTCCACCACCCCCAGTTAACTACATAGGGCAGTCCCCGTTCAGGGAAAGCTCCTGTGTTCCTGCCGCTCAACTCCTGGATTCAGATCCCAGTATATACATTAGCACATTTTAATCATTAACAGGAAGGACAAAGCCCTATGAAACTGCCAGGCTGAGGGCTGCAGACCATTTTGCCATTCAATTAGAGGAATGGCTTCCAGTCCTGTATTATTTTAGTATATGAAGTCGCTTGGCTCAAACATCCACTGACAACTCTTTTTTGTTCTCAATGAATGCACTTTTCAGGGTTTTTAAAAAAGCATTTTATCCACCCGTGACGGATATTAAGCCAACTTTTTTATCTTCAGTCAGTCTAAACAGTTAATTGCTTTGATAAATGGCTTCTTATTTTAGGAATCACCGCGGTCATATTAATTATAAGGGCTTGTTTGCATAAAACTAAATGGACCTAAAACATTCTCACTAGAAAACACACATAGGATCACATCTGTCAGATAGTATCCTATGCTATTAAGCCAAACCAGAGGCAAACTGATTTTCCAAATTCTTTGCCTTTAGCCCCATTTTAATGCCACCTCCTCCCTGCACGGAATAACAAGTTCAAGGATACGTTTAACATAAAGAATCTGACTGTGAGCAATACATTTAAGTTGTTTTTTTTTTTTTTTTTTTTTTTTTTTTTAGTTTCTAGGCTGAGATCTGAGGCATGTGCTTTTATATCAATTGCCAAAATCGCAACGTAAATTGGATCACTTCTAATTAAAATTCTTTCTGGACTAAAAATAAAGTTTTAACATATATATCTCTATGGCCTCAGGAAATATCTATATTAGGAAAATTAAAACCTTATTCACTTCCAACATAGCCAACATTCGAAAGATGACAGTATTTAGTTTGATGCGTGGGCCATTTGAATTGTGGCTTAAGAAACTTCTAACCGTTAAAAAGAGTTTTGAAGTTTAAAAGGATATAAATGACTCATCTTTCCTCACCTCCTTTTGAGAAACCAAATTAAGCGTTCTGCTTCCCTCCTAAACAAAATGCTTTTAAGAAAAATTGAGTGTTTGGAAAAACGAAGGTGTCTCTGATGCTTCCCTTCTCATTTGGTTAAAGCAGCCCCAAACTTACTATAATCAAGGTGTGGGAACAGGAATTAACGCGCAAGTAGTGGTAGTGACTAACGTTCCCCAGCCATCAGCCTGCTGGGAGATTCCCTCCTTATCAAGCTTGTAAGTACACACTGAAGCCCCCCCCCTTTTTTTTCTTTTTCTCTTTCTTCAGGAGAACACTTGATCCGTATTTAAAAATATGTTAAATGGTTTCCTACCTATCTGCATGACCCTGCCAAAAACGGAGGTGTTATCCACGGTGCTGCAGTTCCACCTCCGATGCCGGAATTGATACTGGCACTCTTTGATGCCCGTCTTTGCGCCTTCTCCAATGTACTGCATGTGGTCCTGATACAAGTGGCACAGTTTCTTCTGTCCTTGAGAAAGTCCTGCCAGCTGGCTGCAGAGAGGCTGCGCTCCTATGATATATACTTCTGACATCTGAACAGGGTTATTCATACCTAGCGACCTAAAAAGGGGAGGGGGGAGATGTGCATTCAAGATTTACGTGAACTCTTGAGGTAGGCCCCCTGAAAGCATGTCAGCAATACATAGTTTTAAGCACACAGATGCTTTTTCTCTCCTGCTTGTCCTCATGACAAAGTATGAGAAGGGCTTCATAAAACTTCTCTGTTTCAACTGCACTCAGAAAACGGAGGTATTGTGTAGTCCCCACCCCGCCATCTGGCTCCCCAGTTAGGTTTTCACTCCCTTCTTTGCCCTCATTGCCATATACCTGAACCAATATTTCCGAAATCACTCAGAAGAGGGGGGAATGGCGGTTTTTGGGGACGGGCCTCTGACATGAGAGAAAGTGACTCACTTTGCCCCACAAATTGGACCGATGTGCCTTGGAAACGTATGAATGCCGAAAGTAGACACAATTAGACACGGGGAGGAGATAGCAGCTCCCTCTGACCGATGGAAGAACAGGGAGACAAGTATAGAGGCTGCAGAAAATCCACCATGTTCTCTGGACATTTTAAAAGGGCTCCTTATGTGATTGTGAGAGACCCAAGACAGGGTATCCAGTGAATACAAGTCATGTTTGACAGTCAGAAAAACGCTGTTCATTTACAGGGGAAAAAAATATCCAGAACACCGTCAAAAATAATCCTCTGGATATATTGCAGTCTGTCTACACGGGCCCCTAACCAGAGAGAAACGCTCACTTAGGGACGGTTGACTACTTCACGTTCACCTCCTTTTGATCAGATTTCAAGCCCCAGTCCTCGCCCACTTGCAGTGTAGCTGTCTTCCTAGAACACTCTGCCTACCTCAGACCCCGAAGGTTAGTAACCACAATGACCAAAAATAAAAGCTGGAACTGACTTTTACTACCTCGAGGTGGCAAAAAGTAAACTTTATAGATAGGCTTACAATTATTAGAGACGTGAATTTCGGTCCCCTTTTATTACATGATGTACTACAAGCAGACATCCCAACAAGGGCCTCATAGAAAAAGGTGTAGATTTATAGGGTCGCATTCCCTACGGAGCTACAGATTAAGCCTGACGATATTAACAACTTAAAAAAAAATCCGATTTCCAGATATACAAACAAATCACATTACGCACGTCTGTATTAAAGGCACTCGAACTCCTGATTCTGCTTTAAATACTGCAGCATCGTACACATGAATCTTTTAAAAAAAATGAAATAAAATAAAAACAAAGCATATGTACTTAGAAGGAACTTACCACCAAGAGTTGGCTTCTATTACAACCTGGGCGAAGGAGAAAAATATGGCCAAAGCCATTAGGAAGAACTTGGAAGACATTGCACTTCCAGCCGTCCCCAAAGCAACTCCTGGCCTTAATATTCCAATCGACTTCTGGAGAGGGAAGAAAGGAGCAGATGTTTATTGCCTCTCAGATAATTTTCGAGCATACAAGTTTAAACAACGGAAGCATCCGGGGTCTCTTAAGTTTACTGTTGATTGACTGCGCTTCTCCTCCGTTGGGTTTTTTGATGGCAAGATATAGGCAGTTTCTTTTTCCAAATCAATCCACCCACGCAACCTCACCAGGAAATCTGATTTCGCTGGGATCCTGCGCGCGGGGCTCGCCAGCGATTACAAACATGTCCCAATGCTGTGGAGTCAGAGCCCCGGTGCCAAGCGCTGCCTCTCTCCTGCTCGGCCGCTTCCCGCACCCCCTCGCTCCCCTCTAGTGCGCGCTCTGCTGGGTCCCTGCTCGGGAATTCACTCGGGAACCCGCAGCCACCCGCGTCCGCTCCCCGACCTGGGCCGAGCAACAAGTGGAGCCGGAATTAATTCCATGGGCGAGAGGAGCGCGAAGGCGAGTGGAGCACGCCGCCGGCGGCTGCGGAGGAGGCGGGGTGGCCGGCGCGGGGGTGGGGTGGGGTGCGGTGGGGGTGGGGGTGGGGAGGGGGTGGGGAGGGCAGGGGTGGGGGGCGAGGCCCCGGGGAGCGGCGCGCGCGCGAGTGCCCAGCTGGGAAGTGCAGCTCGGAATTAACAGCGCATGTTTCCTAATCAGTTTACAGGCCGCTTTGGGGGGGGGGGGAGCCGCTTCCAGAGGGTGTGGGGAGGGGGGGGAGGGCAGCCTGGGTTTCCTTAGGACACTGTTCCGCCAGATTGGGGTGGGGTTGGAGACGGGGGGCACCGGGGATAACGAGAGAGATGTGCTCTCCCAACCAAGGAAGCGGGAAAACAGTGCCCTGTGCCCTCTCCCCTGCCTGAGGCCTCCTCCTCCGAGCCAGTGTACCCCCCAGAGAAGGGACAGCACCCCGGAGGAAAGAAAGGAGTCCGAGCCCCCGCTGTCCCGGGAGAGGATCCAGGATCCCTTCCCTGTCCTCCCGCGAATTCTGGTTTCTCATGTCACCCCCGCCCCCCTGCAGCCCCCACTCCTGACAGCTGCCACGGAGAGAGAGGCCAGGAAGCCAAGGGGGGCTCCAGTTTCCTTAGGTCCGGGGTCCGGGGTCGCGGCCCCTTGGGGTCTGGCCGTGCAGCACCTCCGCGCACCGGCCGGCCCAGCTCACGCGCGGTTCGGTGAGCCCCGAACGGCGCGGGGGCAGGGAGAGGCCGCAGCGCGCGCGAGTCAGCCCTCGGCGGGGCCGGGGATGCGCAGGCTCCCGCGCGGCCGCGGAGCCCCTGGGTTCCAAGGCGCAAAGGGCCGCGGCGGCGCAGCCTCCCGCCGCGAGGGCTTCCAGGGGCAGGGGGTGGTGGCCCTGGAAGCTTTCGCGGCCGTGCCTCCCCACTGGGGACTTCTCCACCTGTAGGCGGCGGGGGCGCGAGGCCGTGGCGCGTGCGGGTGGGAGGAGCGGGTTTCCAAAAAATCCCCTTTTACGTTTCTGATCCAAGCGACCCGGCCGCGCTGCGCCGCCCGCAGCCCCCGAGGGAGCGCCTTTCTCCGGGGAGGGGAGGGGGGGAGAAAGGTGAGCCTCCTCCGGGCGGCGGAGGAGCCTGGAACGTGCGCGGGCAAAGGGGCTGAGGGGACCCAGGCAGCCGTGAAAGCGCGCGGGGGCCCGGGAGCGTGCCACGGCTCCTCCGTGCCCGCGGTCTCCTTGACCAGGGGAGCTCCGGGCTTCTCCAAGAGGAAATGCTTCTGCGGTCCCCCGCGCCCGCTAACCAGGGCTCCGAGCCCTGGGCCCACTCCTTCTCCAAGCGCCGCCAGGCGAGGGGCGCATCCCGGAGAGTAGAAACCTGGGGTTTCCCCAGCCTCGGAGAGGGGAGGCTCGGTCTCCCTCCCCACCCCCGCCCGAAGTGTCAAGTTTCCTCCAGGGGAGGGGGTGCGCTGCGAGGTCTGCCTTCGCGCGCGGCCCGGGCTGCAAAGTCGACTCTCCCTCTCGGCGGCCAGGGCCGCGCGCGCACACGCACACGCACACTCGCAACCACACTGCTGCACGTTCACACACTCAAACGCATTCACAGACACACACGCACCGACGTGCTTCCGAGACGCCGGCGGGGAAGGCTGCCGCTGGCCGCGCGCACTTTCTGAGCTTCCCGACGGGCGGGGCGCGCGGGGCGGGGCGCGGGCGGCGGAGAAATTGATAACAGATTCGGCGGATTACAGCGGATCTCTTTGTTAGAGGCGAAGCCACACAAACCGAACCGACTTTGGGCCCGACGACCCCGGGGAGAGTCCGCCCGTTCCTAACTGGGAGTGGGCCGCTGGGTCTCCAAGACGCAGGTCTCCCCAGCTCCAGACTGGGGGTAGGCCAGGGGCGTCCCAAAGGGGATCCTGCAGGAGAGGCCTTCGAGGCGCGTCTCCACTTAACCCCGCGTGCTTGCCCGGAAACACCTTGGCCCTCTTCCCGCTCCAATCCCCGTGCAACCCCCCAAAAGGCCCCACAAGTCTGAAGGGCTGAAAGAACTCACAGCGAACTCCCTAATAAATAATACTTAGACTCTGTAGGGTAAACACCCCTGCCTGTTCACCAAGAGATCCGATCCGAAAAGACGGTATGAAATGAGACCTCTCCTGGAATGGTCACGCAGGGGAGTGTGTGGAAATAAAAGTTCTGGGCAGAAGCTGAGTTTACCAAAGAACGGGCTAAATGTTTTCGAGCACTTTCAGGGCCACGAGAAGCCCACCTAGGTAGGGATCCTGACGATCTGTTCCCAGCAGGCGATGGGGAGGAGGATTGCGGGCACTTGAGCGGTTCTAGCGCAGGGGAGGGGTGAGGTGGGGGTAGGGCAGTGGAGGGCCCCTGTTTCCAAAGCCGGAGCAGCTCTACGCAGTGATGCGGATTCTGTTTCTCCAACAAAGCCTTCACAGTGGATTGAAGGTGTTCTAAAACCTTTATCAATTGGGGTGCGGACTGAGGGTGATGAGGGGTGAAAGAGAGGAATCCATCACTCTGGTTAGAGGAGGTTCCCAGGCCACAGAAAGCCTCCGAGCCCGCAGGCTGCACCCAAGTCCTCAGCCCCATGGCCCCTAAAGAGAAATTCCACAAAGGCAGGAAGATTCTTGACCCTCACTCACTGGTACTACACCTCATTCAGTCTGGTCATCCCCTTCCACTAGGCTTTTTTGCGTCCAGGGAGAATGGAAACGAAGAGCGAGACCAGCTAGGAGTCAAAAATGAGTTCGACCTGGGCTCACCACAGTGGCTAAAAGGATAGAAAACTGCAAGAATCTCTGCTCTTGGTGGGAAATAAACTTTGTTTTCCCCACTCTGATCTCTCTCCAAAGAAGAGTAACAGTAACAGAGAAAATTGTGGGAGATAAAGGCTGCAACCACAAAACTGGGATGCCCTGCCGCAGGAAGTGCCAGCAGAGAAGCGGAGCGGCTGAGGATGAGCTTGGGGCCACCGATGGGAGGGAGGTTCGCTTTTGGGGAACAGACCAGGAGGTAGGGCGTCCCTAAGCCTCCAGCTTGGGCTCAGGGGGACTGAGGCTGCCCCTCACTGCTTTGTTGTGTCTACAGCACTGCCTATGTGTTGTTTGTGTGTTGGGGGCGGGGGGGGGGGGGGGCGTTGGGAGAGAGACAGAGTTATAAGGTGGAGAGAGCTCCTTGGGCCCAGATCAATGCAAGGATTGCCTGGGCTCAGGGCTGAACAGCAGGTCGGGAAACAAGGAGTCTCCAAAGGAAGAATGGTGTTCGAGCCGGGTTTTGTTCCCTATCTCCCCCACTTCCATCCCCAGACAAGTCTCTTCAGACGTCAAGACCTTATTTCTCTCTCCGACACACACACACACACACACACACACACACACACACACACAATCACTTACACTTTCCTCACACAGGTTAACTCCAAAGACAGGCTCTCAGCTCCAAACCAGAGGAAGAGCAAAGTGAAGGAGAAAGAAAATTAAAGATCAGTTCAACCCCCACCCTCCAGAGGCCGTATCAACTCCACGTTTTAATAGAAGAAGAAATTGAGGCCGAGAAAGAGAAAGCAACACTCGTCTCCCACAGACAGCACGGGTGGGAGCGCCAAGGCCGTACCCTAGGCCTCCTAGGGCGACGCTCCTGTTCCTACGCCCTGGGGAGGAGGTGAGCCCTTCCTTCCACTCGCCGGAGCCCCGTTTGCTGGGTCGGACCCCTGCCCCTTCCGTATTGCGGCGGCCGCGCAGTGCAGCTTGTCCTCCGGGGGCCTCGGAGGGGCCCTCCCGGGAGAGGAGGACCTGGGGGTCGGGAAGGACGAGCTGAGCCAGAGGTGGGAGGGAGAGGCGAGCAGCTGACCGCCCGCCCCGAGCAACAGACTCCCAGGCGCCCTACCTCGAGGCGGCCAACAGGGGGCAGCCGGCACCGCACGGCGAGGATGGAAGGCAGCGGGAAGAGCTGAGCTCCGAGCGCACGGCGCTAACCCCTTGTGCGCCGGGGCGCTCGGGGGAGAAAAGGCAAAGGCCTGGGACACCCGGCCCAGTCCTCCAGGAGAGGGTCCTCCTTTGTGGGGCCCGGCGGGATTGGGGCTGGCAAGCCCAATGCCCGAGAACAACTGACCCTTTCGTCCCCTCGCCCCCCCCAACACGGAGGGCACGGATTTACACACTCGGACACAGTTTCCACCGCGTCTCCACCGCTCGCGCGCTCTCAGCATTGCCCCCTCGGAGCTCCCCTGGCAGACGCTGTATACAAACGAAATCTCCGTATCAGGTTGGAGCAGCGGTGAGCCCTGGCGGGAGAGCAGGGGGCTGAGGAGGTGCGATCCCACCCCTGGCTCCAGGGGACTCATAATCAGCGGGTTGTCCATTTAAAAACGGGAGAGGAGAAGGGGCCCCGACGCCAAACTGGAATTGGAAAGTAAAACGAGGCCGCGGGGTCTCCAGGTTTGGGGTTCTTTTTTTCTTTTTTCTTTCTTTTTTTTTTTTTTTGGACTTTTTTGGGAAGGCGTGCAGGGATTTCGTTTGTTTTAGGAAACTGTTTTAATCCCAGTTCCAACCTTTGCCGTTCTAGAAAAGTAAAATGAGAGACGATCAAGAAGAGTAGAAATAAGGACCGAAGCTCGGAGGACGGAGAAGTTGTTTGGAAAATAACAAGTTATATTGCAGGAAGAAATGTTAACTTCCCGCAAAAGTGAACTCCCGGTGACCCTCGGAGTGTGTGACTCGGCTTTAACATACAACTGACAATTAAAACAAACAAGAGTTCACAAACTGCCCCCCGCCCCTCCTCGCCCGCTCTCCCAAAGCGGAGGCCCAAATGTTTCCAAAGGACGCGGCGGAGTCCGCGCAGGGGGCCGGGGCGCGCTCTCCCGGCGGACGGGATTGGAGCCACCGCTGCCAGCGCTCCCCGCCCCCACCGCCCGGGCCCAGGGCCCAGCTCGCCAGTGGCGGCTAATAATGCTAATAACGCGACCCGGCTCCCGCGCCGGGGTGCGCGCTGGCCCCCCACCAGGCACTCTTAAAGGCACACGGCCCGCAGCGCTGGGAGTCCCGAGCCTGCAACCTGGCCTCCCGCCGCAGAGCACCGGGGAAGAGGGGGGCGGTGCACCGCTCCGGGGTGTCGGCTCCCGCTGCCCGGTCTCCCAACCAGGGAGTCCTCCTCCCCTTCCCGAGCCCCGGCCACACACCCTCTCGGTGCCCGCGCAGTGGGCGCTTCATAAATATTTGTTGAATTGAATCATTATCCTGTTCCTGAAATATACCTAGTAAATGACACTGGTGTTCCTCCGGGCAAAAAGAAGATCATCTGTGAACCGCTCTCGGGGTTTCTGCCCTCGCTTATCCTCCCTTTTTCTGCAAAGTCTAGGTTTGCAGTAACTTTTAGCGGGAGGAGAGGTGTCCCGAGAGACGCAGGCGGTGCGCGAGGGGGGCGGTGGGCGAAGGGATGGGGGGTCCCTGCCAGCTCGGCTATGGAGTTCAGCTTCTGGAGGCGGTAGGAGAGATGGAGGTATAGGGAGAGGGGTGTGTGTGTGTGTGTGTGTGTGTGTGTGTGTGTGTGTGTGTGGTGGGGGGGGGTCCAGTTAACTTCCAAAAGAAAAAATGCAAAGAGGGGAGGAAAAAAAAAAAAGTGGCGAGCGTCGGCAGCGCGCAGAACACCTACCTTCATGGCGAGGGGGAGGGGACGCGGCCGCGGGGAGGAAGTCGCCACCGGAGCGAGGGCAGCCGAGGAATCCGAGCGGAGCGGCCGGGTTAAGCCCGGGGGGACGATCCGGCGCGGAGCGGCGGGCTCCTCCGGGGCGCGTCCGGCAGGCGCAGGAAATCGGTGGCGAAGCGGTCCCTGGCGCCCGAGCCCGGGGGCCCGAGCCGGAGCAGCTCCGGGGTGCGCCCGGGGACCGAGGGGGCGCCGGAGCCCGCGGGCCGGCCGCAGGGGCAGAGCCGGGCCGGCGCGCAATGAGGGAGCCGCGGGTCCGGCGAGGGCGTGCAGGCGACTGTTCCGCGGCGAGGCGCTCCCTCTCCAACGTCCATCAGCGACGGCGGTAATTAGGGCTTTCCAACCCCAAATGTGGGCGTGATTGTGCAAAAGACTTTACAACAAATAATAATAAAAAAAAATTCTTCGCAAGAGGGTGAAAAAAATGCCCCACTACTCAGCTCTGGCCCGGGGCGGGGGCGGGGGCGACCCGCGCGCCCAGGTGCCCCCAGTTCATTCACACCGCGGCTGCTGCAGAAGTCCCCGCGGCTCACGCCTCCCGCTCTGCAGCTCCTCCTCTCCGCGTCTGGGGCCGAAGCGTCTGCTTCCCGGCGCTGATCCTGCGGCCGCGAGTGAGCGTGCGGACGTCTGTGTACACACACAGATACACCCCCACCCCCACCCCCACCCCCACACGCGCGCACACACACGCGCGCACGCACGGGCGCTTTGGGGCCACAGAACAATCAGGCGCGCATGGCTTTTTCTCCGGGAGATGCCGCTGGAAATGCGCAAGTCGCCGTCCGGACTACAGGAGTCAGCGCCAACTTTTGTCCTTTCATTTTAGGGTTTTGGCAAAAAAAAAAAAAAAAAAAAAAATAATAATAATAATAATAATAAAAGATAAAAGGAGGGGGCGCGAAATGGGTGAAAAGCCGTCCCTCGAAAGCTCGGCGCGCGGCGGCCTCGGGGGCGGTGGGCGGTGGGCGATGGCCCCAGGGGAGGCACGGGCTCCCCCCTCCCCGCTCCCTCCTCTCTCTCTCCGGGTTAGTCCCCGTCTTTTCCCCGCCCTCCCCAGGCGCGGGGCGCCCCGGGCGCGGGCTGGGGAGGGGCGAGGCCCGGGGCTCCGCGGCGGCGGCTCAGCCCCGGCGCTCCATGGCCGGCGCGGCTGCCCACCTCCTCGCTTGGCGCCGGGGCCGAGGGGCGGGCGGGCGAGCAGGCGGCGGCGGCGGCGGCGGCGGCGGCGGCGGCGGCGGGAGGAGCTGGCTCGGCGGCGGCCGCACCGGACCGGACTCTGGGCGGCGGAGGCGGCGCCCCGGAGCTCGCGGCAGCCTTCCACGCGATCCTGCGCCTGCCAGACAGACTGACCCGGACCGCGGGCACCGCGGGCACCGCGGGGACCGCGACCCCCCCACCCCCTGGCCCTCCTAGCCAACCGCCTCACTCTCTCTCCCTCTCTCCGGACTCCGCTTTCCCCTGCTGTTCAAAAAAAAAAAAAATTTTTTTTTCTTTTTTTTTTTAAGTTGCAGAACCAAAGGCGGCTGGAAAGAGAGGGAAGGGGGGAGAAAAGAAAGAGAGAGAGAGAAAAAAACCCTCAACTTCGCCTATGCGCATGCGTGGTGAGGCCGGCCTATGACAAACTCCGCAGGATTTTAAAGCCGTACCACGGCTGGGGTGCGGGGGGGTGGAGTAGGCTCCCTGCTCGAGCCCCCTTCTCTGGGCTCCCCATCCCCCAGGCATCTGCTGGAAGAGAGAGGTGCACTCCGCAGCCGCCGCCCGCCCGCCGCCCCGCTGCCTGCGATCTTCCAAAGCCGCAGACCCTCGGGAGGCTGAACCCCAACTTCCCGGTCTGCACCCCTCGGCTGGCCTGTCCCGGGCTGCTCCTACTGGGGGCTGCCGGGGGCGCGGGCCGCTGCCCGAGCACCGAACCTCTGGGAGGACCTCCACCCCGTCCTTACCCCTGAGGGAGGGTCCCTAAGCCCGGGGCTGGACATCAGGGGAGACGCGCACATCCTGCACCGCCCCCAGGGCAGTAGGTTTGGGTCCCGGGGCGCGATTCAGCCCCTGGCTGCGACCCAGCGCACCCGGACGCGACGTGTGGTGCTGCGCGGTGGATCTAGGCGGGTGCCCCCAGGTGAGAAGCTTGCCAAGTTCCGCAAAACCTCCGCAAAACCCGACTCCAGGCGCTGGAACTTGTAGACACTTGCAGACACCTGTGGTTGTCCCTGCAGGGACGCGGTTGGGGGATGTGTGCCCCCCCCCAAGTCCTGCAGGACAGGGACGCCACTCCCAAACCATGCCTCACACTGGAGCACAACTCTTGTTCTCCTTGCTCCCCATCTTCCAGACCTGTGAGGTGGAGGGGACACACACACACACACACACACACACACACACACACACACACACAGACGCGGGATTCAATTTCCGCCATCCAGCAGCATGCACTTGACCTTAAGGCGAAAACTCCTCGGCCTGGGTACTTCGGGGTGGTGGCTGTTTTGTTTTGTTCTTCCATTGGCTGACCACCCCAGGTCCTGCGGGGTGGGGGAAAGGCTCCCAGAGATCCTGTCCCACCCTTCGCAGCCCCTTCCTGGACCTTACTTGTCTGGGCCGAGGGGACTCCTCCCCGGCCCTGGCCTCCTTTTGCTATGCGCCCCCAAATGGCAGCGTGGGCTTCCCAGGACCAGCAAGAGATGCGCTTTCTCTCTCTGGCCTTGCTTTCTGTAGCCAGGGGTGCAGGAAACCTTAAGGAGGGGAGCCCAAAGTCATCAAAGCTGCTCTTGAAACATCTCCCCTTCATCTCGGAGTTCCATGTTTCCTCACATTCTTTAGGCCTTGACCACTTAATGATGACCTGTGGGCATTTTCCACTTTTCCAATCTAGTCTGAGATCTGCCAGTTGAAGGGGAGGGTCTAAGGGGGGGGGTGTCTGTGCCTGCAGAACCGCCCCTTGGCGGGCCCCTCTGCAGCTCCCTCTCTTGCTTTTTGGCTTTGACCAGCAACTGCCTTCCCAGATCCACCTGGCCAGAGGAGCGCTCGTGTCTCCTGGGCGGGCAACCCAGCGATGCCCAGGGGCAGCAGTTCAGCCCGCGGGGCTCACACGTGAAGGGCCTGGGAAGTGGCAGGACATGTCTCGTTCAAGAATGGAGCTCTCCAAGGGTGCAGGAGCGGCTCCACGCCTGAGTGTCCCTGAGCCCACAGAGATGATCTTATTGCTAAAAGAGAAGGGCTGTTAACTTGCTCCCACCCCTATAGCCTGTCCAGAAACACTGGCTACCCAACACACACCTTTTTCTAAAATCTGCCAAACTCGGGATTATCTGGATTTTTGCCTGCTTTTCCCTGGTTGCTGTTGCTTATGTAGACACAGCCTCAAATGTTCTTATTTCCTGCTTTGCTGTCTTTCCTCTAGAGGAAGGTGGTGTTAGGTAGTGGTTGAGGGCAGACTCTGAAGTTCCAGTCCTCCTGGGCTATTTTCTAGCTGTCAGGTCTCGGACAAGTCATTTAGCCTCTCAGTGCCTCAAGATCCTCTTAAGTACACATATAAACACACACACACACACAC